CCCTGGCCGCCTTCCCCGCTGCCAGGCGGCACCTGCTCCTCCGGCCGTTTCTGACCGAGGGTCGGCCGCCCTTCGGCGTCGCAGCTGGCCCGGCTGGCGGGGGAAGCGATCAGTGGAGAAAGTGCCCCCCCCCCCGGTATCAGCCAGTTAACGAGTCTTCCAGAAAATTGAAGGGCGCGTGGAGATGGGGGAGACAGGCTGGTTTTGCAAAGGCAGGTCACAGGTGAGATTCCCAGGGCCTTTTCAGTCAAGAGTTGTAACGGGTTTGTTTATTAGCCAATTTATACAGCCGCCCATCTCACAAAATGGCCTTCCAGCATCCCAGTGACAAGCCTTTTCTGGGGTTGCTCTGCCCTGCCGGATAGTAGCCCTCCTCCAGCCGTGGCCCTGTTCAGGAAAGTCTTTAAAACATGGCCTTTTTAGCAGGCCCTGGGGAGCGAGATCTGGGAACCTGTGCTGATGCCGGAATTTTGTTTCTGGGTTCTTAGGTCTTCTTTCTTGATTCAGTAATAAAGTGTTCTGCTTGTTTTATTATTTTAATATGTTGTGTGTTACTAGAGTTGCTTGCATGATTGAGGTGGCCTTAGATTGAAATAATAAATAGATAAATAAAAAAGCATGCATAACGCCTGAACAGCACTATGACACGTGGGTCAGGTGCTGCAGGGCTGAGGTCTCCACAGAAATGAGTGATCCAGGTTCTCCTGCAGCCCAAGCTCAAATGGCCACGGCTGCCCTGAGGGAAGGGGCGTGCCCCTGGCAACCCCAGATGGCCATGGATGACCATGTCACCCCCAAGATCGTGGACAAGGCATTGCAGAATTGAGGCTGCCTCCACAGCAGGCTGCAGCAGCAAGAGATCTTCCCTAAAAATGATAAAAGGGAGGGTCATTATGGTGCTGTTTGTGGGTGCAAAGATGACCCCAATAAGCCATATCAAGCTGCTCTCCTAGTTGCTTCTTCCCTTCTGCCAGGACCACCATCTCTTTCCCTGATAGCCCTAGAAGTCTCTTTTTTTAATTAGAAAATTTTAATGTAATAAGATACACAAAACAAGAAGAAAGAGAGAAAATAAGAGAAATAAATTGAAAACAAAAATGTACACTTGTGCCTTCTGCCTTTCTATTAATTGTCAAATTTTCCCCAACCTCTCATTTTTAATTCCCGAATCCCATAATTCATTTTTTTCTTCTTTCAGCAAAAAGTTTATATAAGGATTCCAGTCTTTAAAAAAAATTTTTATTGTTTGTTCTCTGCCCAAAACTGGTCAGTTTTGCCATTTCTGCAAGTTCAGTTAATTTTATTATTGTTTTCCACTGTAAGCATATAATTGCTTTTCCAACTTTTTGCATACATTAATCTTGCTGCAGTTACCACATATGATATTAATTTCCCATATTTCTTTTCTAATTCCTTGACCATAAAACCCCATAAAAATAATTCTGGTTTCATCATAATATTAGTCTGTAATACCTTTTGCATTGTTGTACAGATTTGTACCCAATTTTTTTTTTCTTTTTTCTTTTTCACAAGTCCTGGTCCTAGAAGTCTCTTGATTTGCTTTCAGTGTTCTTCTTTATCCCTGCAATGCCCAGAAGTGAGACGGACGTGTCTGCCCAGTTCTCGGGAGCCAAACTCCCAGACTCTGCCTTTTCCATCTTCCTTTGGGGAGATTATCCTGAGAGTTGTACAGAGAAGCAATTGTCCTGAGTCTGCGTGGCCCTGAGAGCCTGACGAAGGACCAGCTTTTAGGTCCAGCACTTTGCTCCTGCCATCTCACAGGGCCCAGATTTTTGCAGCCATGGCCTTTAAATGTGATGATGGCATACCTATAATACAGTGGGTCTCAGCCTGAACAACTTTAAGATATGTGGACTTCAACTCCCATAATTCTCCAAGCCAGCAGGCTGGCTGGGAAATTCTGGAAGTTTGAAGTCCACACATCTTAGTTGCTCAGGCTGAGAAACACTGATATAATACTGTATACGGTATATAAATGTGACTGGATGATGAACACAGGGGACTCCCCAAGGCTGGGGCCGTTTCACCGACGGCCAATCGTGGAGAACGAGCAGCATCCAGATCCGCCCCTTCGCGCGGCCCTCGTGACTTGAGACTGCGATTCCCACAATGCCAAAGAGCTGCTTCCGCCCTCGAGCGGACTAACTCCCTATTCAGCGGCGGACTACAATTCCCAGCGTACTTTGCTGTCCGCTCGGCACGCGGTGGGTATTGGCAATAGCCTCGGCCAATGGGAAGGGAACGGGGCGGGGGGGCGCTTCTTGGCCCGGCCAGTCGGGGAGCGCGTTGCTGGCCGGTGCCGGCGACGTCGCGCTCTGAGGGGAGTTCGGCGGCGGCCCGGCATGGGCGGCCCGCGCTCCTCTCCCGCGTCTCTCCGCTGAGCATCTGCCCCCGGCCATGGCTGGCCCCTCTCGGGACCTGCTGGGCACCGACGTCTTCGACGAGGCCGTGCGGAGCACCTGCGATGTCGCCTCCCATTGCAAGCGGTGAAGGAGCGGCGGGGGGAGGGCGCGGGCGGAGCTTTCGCTCGAGGCCCTTTCTCGCCTGGCGCGGCCCGCTGAATGGGGGCGGTAGATTGCGGCTCGCCTGTCAGCTGGCGCAGCAGGTAGCGCCTAGTCGAGTCTGGGAAGCCACGCAGGCTTGGAACTGCCTGGCCGGGATGGGGGACCACCGGGAAATCTCAGGGCTGAAGGCTCACCTGGGAAGTCGCAAAAACCCAGGAGTCAGCGGCCAGGAGTTGTTTCCGTGAGAATAATGCGGGGACCCATCCCTGGAGTCACGAAGGCTCAGGCTGGCCCAGAGAAGGCTGTATGGCACTGAGCTGATTTGCGGTGCGTGGGAGTTTGGCTCAGCCACTGGGGTTATGAGTGCCGCTTAATGCAATGGCAGTTGAAGGAAGCCCTGATTTGAGGTGACATCTACACGGGTTGCTTGTTTCCAGACATCTGGAAAGCGCAAGGTGCAGGAAACCAGAGTCCCCTGTTGAGATTGAATGAGCGAGTGAATGAATTAATTAATTAATTAAAACGACTGTAAGAGCACAGGAGTGCCCCTCGCTGCATCAGACCAAACGTCTCGCTTACTGTTGCTTTACAAGCCTGCCTTTTCTCCAAGGGGTGCCCTTGCCCACCTCCAGCCTGAGGATAGTGGCTGGCTTAACAAGCTCTGTGGCTGAAGCGGGATCTGGACCTCAGCGTCTTACTCTTTCTCCAGCCGTCTATTATTTATTATTTGTATTGGGGGATCTTGGGATTGGAGAGGACCACTTATAAGCTGGTTATAAATCAACAGTGTGACTTGGTTGCCACAATGAGAAGTGCACTGTCAGCCTGCATTAATTTAGGAATTGTATAGGTTCCAAATCACAGTTACACAAAGTAATGATTCTATTCTGGATAGTATCACAGCCTCAAGTATTATGTCCTGTTTTGGGCATCCCACTTGATGTCTTTAAGCAGAAGCTGGGTAAATATTTATAGGGGATGCTTTAATATTGATTCCTGCCATGAGCAGGGTATTCTTCCTATTCTATTATACTGGCACTCTCCTTCTTGCATCCAGATATGCATAAACCTGGTTTTGATCCAGCTGCTTCTTCCTAGATTCATGGTCCCCAGATTTCCGCTGCCCCCTGCCTATTGAGAGCAGCAGCCTGCTTCTGAAAGTCATAAATGTTTGAAGAGGCTCTTTGTGGTATTGATATGCCATCCGTAAACATGGAATAATAGTGTGAATTTGCCTAAATTATTTAAAGTGCATAAGAGCCACTTTTTTAGATTAGACTGATATTCATATAGTCTAGAATTCTGTTTTCAACAGAATAGGAATTCTAATTTTGTTTTTCTTTCTACACTCAGATATGCTATAAGTGTTGGCTACTGGAAAGATCCTTACATTGAATATTTTGTAAGCCATCCAAAAGAAAGGAAGGCACCTGAAATCAGCCGTGGTAGGTTATAAACAAATATGTGTCAGGGCAATTTGTGTTGCTCCATGAGCATATGGCAAAAGGAAGAACAGAAGAGGGGGTGGATGGGAGCTAACTAACAAATTCATTTTCAAATGTTTTCAGAGCTAAAGTATTGTCAACTAATTGTTTTCTTCTTCTTCTAAGGGTATTATGCACGGGTCCAGGGAGTTGGTCGTTTACTTAAGGCTTTCTTAGAAAAGACAAAATGCAATTGCCAAATTATAAATCTTGGTGCTGGCATGGATACTCTGTTTTGGAAATTAAAGGTGAAATAGTTTATAATGTTATTTCAAGTGTGATCTCTAATTTATAATTTGTAAAAAACTTTTTTTTTCATCTTTATTGATTATATATGTAAGCTTGGCAAACTGGTATCCTCCCAATAATTTGGACTTCAGTGGTCATCAGCTCCATCCAATGTAGCTGAAGTCAAAGGATTTATCCAAAATATCTTAAGGACACCAGGTTGCTGCTATCTTACAGCAGAACAATGTAAGTGTGGTTTATGTTCCAGAGAATTCTGCTATTCTTTCTAATGCACAGAATGCTATGTAACATACAAAGCATTTTTGGGTATATATCAGAGAAAATGGTGTTCAGAAAATAGCTTAGCTCCACATGGCTGAGCATTTCATGATCTATCATGAGTGCACATGATAGAAAAAGACGTGCTGCTCCTAGAAGTCTGTCCGCTTTTTCTGTTAGAAGTAAATCCGCGATCTAGAATAGAATTGCTAAGAAGAGGGTAAATCAGGCTTCCCAACGCCTCTTCAGCAAATTATTGGGGCAGGGTCATTGCTTCCATCTCCTTTTCAGTTTTTTGCTCAGTACAAGTGGGAGATTAGGCGTAAGAATATAGTATGAGTAGGAGAAAGGAATGTCTATCGTTGACTCCAGAACCCCAGCCTAGCAACCTTGGAGTCACAAAGATCATGACCTGAAGCAAAGCTATGGGCTGATTCTTTTGCCCTCAGTGAAAACATTGGAATCTATCTGTTTCCCCCCCCTTTTCAGGATGAGAATCTTCTTCCTATGAAATACTTTGAAATTGATTTTCCATCTATAGTCTCAAGGAAAATTCACTACATCAAGTAAGTGCTGGGATCTGCATTATGTTTGAACAACTGAATGAATGCATTTGTCTTTGGAGAAGAAGAGGATTTTAGAACAAAATGGTTAGAAGGGATACTAAAATTGTCACATTTTAATTAGCTATCTTTGTTGTATAAATATATCAAGTATCACAAGGGAGTGTATGCAAAATCTTGTCTGCTGTCCTACAAATTGTGCTTATAGAGTGCTGCCCAAGTAAATGTGACACTACTACCATGAATGTTTGATGAAGGAGTTTTTGTACATTTCTGCCTTTCTGTTTGCTCCAAAGCAAGAGCTCTGCAGAGTAGTTGCCAAAATGCAAGAAAAGGTGCCTTTCTTTTTATCAGTATATTGGGCAGGTAACATTTACAGACTTTTATTTTTTTATTTTATTTTATTTTATTTTATTATTTATTTTATTTTAATTTGATAACTATTTCCTTTACAGCTGTTATGATTACTTTGCAGAGGGTTGTTTAAAAAATTGAGAAGCAGGAATTTCCCTTTCATCAAATAATTGTGAGAGCAAGTTCTCACATGGTTAAAAGCAAACAGATAGATAACCAGCTCAGTCTGTTAGCAAAACAAGAAACAGGGAATCTGCCTTTCCCACACAAAAGAGATCATTCTAATCCTTTGCATCACACTGCCAGAGAAAGGCAGTAAAAAAGAGAGAAAGGAATCCTGAACTCCAGTGAAAATGATTATATTGAAAGCCAACGTGCTTTGAAAATATTTTGATTCTCAAGGGCATTCTAAAAATAGAATGCAAGAAAGGGCACAAATAATTATGCAGAAGGTTATAATTATAATAATTTTCTTTATGCATATGCTAACTACTATAAGGTGTCTGTGATAGGATAGTCTCAGCTTATGAGTGCAATCAGTCAAACGATTATATCTATGAAAAAACACTTCCATATATTGTTGGATTTAACTGGATTATCACAGAGAAGAATATTGCTGTAATGATCAGAAAAATAAATATCTAGAAAGAACATAAACATTCTTAAAACTATATTACAACTGCAGACCTCTTAAATAAATAAAATGGAGACGCAAAGAAACTCACAAGACAAGCACGAAAAGCTTACTTTCTAATACATCTGTAAACTAATTATCTAGCTCCAATGTCTGAGAGATTTCTGATAGGTTCAAGCCAAGTTAAGCCATGTGTGGTTGGGGAACAGATTTGTAGCCAAGTCCTGGTCTGGGGAACCTAACAGCTATTCTTTATAAAATGATCATCAGTTGTTCCATAGTTATTTGGTCTAGTGGGATAATGTATTTGCTTGAATGTTGTCTGTGTTGGGAAAAAAGCAAATGCCCTGATATATATGATAACAGGATTTCAAAACAAGATCAAGGTGGCTAAAAGTACTTTTAAATAAATAAAAAGAGCTGTTCAAACTGAATTCTGGCATACAAATTTGCAGTAGTGCCATTGGATATATTTATTCTGAAAAATGAGAATTGCACTGTCTCTCTTCACCCTGAAACCATCTCTGTTACATTGCCTTTCCTGTCCAGCATCACCCCCAGATGTTTAGCCCCAGGGAAAGCCCCTTTGATTCTGACAAGCACGTCAGCGGCGTTCATCCTGTTTTCCTTTCCTATTACTTGCTCACTGAATCCACTGCAGAAGGTGATCCTGCAGCTCACCCTCTTGACTTGTTTTCAGAAGAGCACAGACCCTTTCTCTTTTTATGGTTTAGGAAAGATGACATGCTCTCCGATGACTCACGGGCTCTCTTTCCCCTTTCTGTTTGTCCTTTACAGGTCGAAACCTCCTCTGTCAAAACCAATCATGGAAAGCCATTCAGGGGAGACCCTTCTCATAGGTGAGTCCCCGTTAGAGCAGGGCATCTCATCCAGACTTATTTCCTTCTCTTTCCTCTATTGGGCTTACTGAGGATGAGATCATCGGAAGGAGTCACCCGTGTTCTTCGGCCAGCCAGTGGCTGCCTCGCCTGGATCAAGACCAGTATAGGGATTCATGACTACAAATGGCAGGGAAAAGCTTCTACTGATTTCATTTGTGAAATTCTGGACTAGTCTCTCCCTTAGACACCTTTGTTGGTTTTAGGATCAAGTCGGGTTTTGTTTTGTTTTTTTTTGGAAAGACATGATTTTGATCTGAGCTGACCTGTTTGCTCATCCCCTGCAATGGGATCACTGGAGATGCCTCCCATCATGACTGGAGATATTGATGTGGGTGAATTTTTGCTGGGGAGTTTCTTCTTTTCCAGGATCTAACCCATAGCTACGATTAGGACTGGGATCAAATGTCCTTGGAAGTGCCCTTTGTCTCACGGTCCTCCTGTAGGACGTTTGCTCCCAGTGCTCAGTGCCCCCAAGTCCCCTTTTCTCCATGAAAGTAAATCAGTCAACAAGCTCTGCCTGAGTCTGCAGTTGCTGAAAGGACACAGGTTCTGGGCTAGGCTTCTGTTACCTGGAATCGTCCAGGAGCATGCGCGTCAGTGGGTTTGGGAACATGCTCCCTGCTTGATGACGCTGTTCCAAGGGCCTTGCTCTTTCTTTTTTCCTGCCAAGATAGATACCATCTTTGGTAAATCCCTGACTGCTTCATGTTGAGATTGGTCTCTGGGTGTCCCCCCCCCCCATTAGATGGCATGTTACCAGCACTGGTAGCATAATTTTTAAGAACAATCTTGTGTTTTCACTTTTTTTTTTAGCAAACATCCAGGTTTTGTCGTTCATACAAGCTCTTTGAAAAGCCTCTACAGATCTGCATAGCGGTATGTCTGTATGCAGGCTTCATCGTGTGGCATCATCTCCCTTACCTCACCCTGTTGAAAAGGAGATTGGCAAGCCACAGTGCTTTTGTTCTTCAGCCATTAAATCAAGCCTCCCCAACCCCACCCCTGTTCGCTTCTAAACATCCATTCTCTGGCTTGTATCAGAATTCCTTCCTTTCTCTGTCTTGCCTGGCAGCATCTTTCTGTCCCCCTGGCACCAAACAGGTTGGTTTCTTCAAACTCCCACATAGTATTCTCCTCTCATCAAACAGGGTGCCTGTTGAGGGTTGAGGCAGCCATGGAGAGTTCTAGTTCTTTTCTCT